ACAAACATGCCAAGGTTCATGCCGATGTTTGTTCAGTTAAAAACAACTCACAGCTAAAGCAAAAGGAAACATATTTTCTTTTTTCCCAGAGGCGAGCGGTCGCCTGGGCGAAGCCCTGTCCGAAGTTAATTACATGCAGTGAGCTTTGGTAGGCCAGGTCTACCCTACCTTCCCTACCGAAGTCGCGACGCGCCCATGGTTCGCGGGTACCTGAACTCCTGACGGGCCGGTGCTGAAGATTGTACCATTAAAGGGGTAACTGTCACCTTCTCAGCATGGCTGGGTTTATCATCTGAGTTTCTTTTTCCGCCTTCAGCGCCGTTCCAAGCAGCCCTCAAGTTCTATGGATTGCTCTTGTTGTCCTTGTTCCGCAACCTGGCAGAATGCAGAGTTTAGGCTTGATAGAGGGGTGGCCTCTTCACTAGCCGGCTGCATTGTCCGGCCACAAGATGGCGGTGAAGACCTGGGGCTTGGCCTTTCGCTAGATCGGCTCCGATCCCTTCTTCGGCCCGTTGGCGCGGAGTCTGCAAAGTCCACCCAAACTTCGCCACCTTGAGTTGATGGGGACCTGGTCCTTGGCCTTTCACCAGACTGGTCTCTGGGCTAGGCTTACAGGGAGCTAGCACCACCACAGACAGGGGCTGCAGGGGAGCTGGCACCTCACCCTGACCCTGAGACCCGGAATTGGATTTGTCTGTTGGCCAAACTGTCGCTGCTGGCCCGAGGGATCCTAGACCCTGTGGAAGCTAAGCTGATTACGGGCAGGGCAAGAGAAGGGGCAGTCAGTTTCTTGCTAAGAGGATTAGACCTTCCACCTCCGGAGGTGAGTCGACTTTGGCTTGCATTCGCTGCTTCTTGTTTGGACCAGCAGCCGGACTAGCTGCTTGTTCCTTGGCCTGCTGACCTTGCCTTGAAGGCAGAGGTCCTCTGCAGAGAGCTCTAGGGTTTGGCCGGCCCATGTCCAGCGCTACTCCTAAATCTTGCAGGTACTGTATCAGGGCAGACAGTGGCCCTGACACTTTCTGCCAGCCATAGCGTGTTTGCGACTGTCGTTGCCATAACGGCTGCCAGGCTTGTAGCATCAGACCGCGTCCTTCTGGTCCATGAGCCAGAGCGCATCTGATGACCGCTTCAGCCTGTTGTGCCACCACGGTGAACTGAGGGTCTGGCGCTTCGTGGCTAAAGAGGTCCAGAATGACATCTACTGAGCCCACAGCAGCGCGCCCCAGCTGCTTTGACAGACTAGCCCTGAAGACTTTAAGACGCTTTGGCGCAATGCCCTGCGCCTCATATGCTCGTACAGTGCCGCCGCAAAAGGACTAGTGCGCAAGACACGCACTCTTGCCTTGCGGCAGGAGGCTCTCAAGGAGCGAAGCTTTTTGACCCTGGTGATCCCACAACGAAAACGCTTGTTAGCTGTGAAGAGTCTTCGTCTCCTAGCCCCTGCCGAATCTATACCCAAATCTTTAGCCAGAGATTGGATATCCGGATCGGTAGGGTGTCTGGCTTTCTTCAGTTCCGCGACTGCTTTTGAAGACGTGCCCACAAAGTGGATCTTTCTGGAACTTACCTCCAGACCTTCGGCGTCCAGATCTTGTTTGATTTGACGAAAGATACTCAAAGCAGCGCCCGCAGCAACAGCCGGGCTGCGATGCACTGCATCGATCGAAATATCGTCAAGCCACAGATCGGCGTTGGACACGCCTTGCATGCGTAGGGTATTCTTAAGGGGAGCCTCCAGCGCCAATTTGGCTAACGTTGGAGCTAGAGGACATCCCTGCAACAACCCCCGCCGCGGATATATCGGCGGCGAAAGCACCGATTCACCGTTCAAGCAGCGCGGTCCTTGGTAGATGCATAGGCTTAGCGCCAGTAGCGGGGCCGGGAAGCCCTGGTTCAAGCCTTGCTCAAGCACACGTTGCCAGCGTATGCCGTCGTAGAAGCCCTGAAGATCGATGAAGAGGGTCAGCATGTGGTAGTTGCTCACTTTGGCGTGTTCAGCACGTAGGAGGCGTCTAAGCGCGACGTCCAAGGAACGACCTCCTGGGACTGCTGAGTCATAAGCGTGATCACCTACGTAGTTTGCAACCCACTCCCGAACTTTAGGTTTGCGAAACGTGCAGTAGACTGAGTCGCCACAACACTGGTGTTAAGGAAATCAGTCGCTCTTTATGCTCGTCTTTGGGCAGGAGCGCCACCTCATGCACAAGCATCTGAATGGGCAAATTTCCTCGCTTTTCCGCGGCCATCAAAGCGCGGGCCAGTGCATCATAACAAGATTCAGGGACCAGGCGTAGAGCAGCATAGCTCCACCCATCACAGCCTCCTTTCTTTTTGCCTGCCTTCTGCACTAGCGTAGCCAACCCAGCTCCGGTGAGCTGGGGCCAGTGTTTGACCTCCTCTTAAGCCTTTGCCTGGAGTTCCCCAAGGCGGGGGTGAGCAAAGGTACTCATGCTCTCAAAAGTACCATCCCATATCTTGCACCAAGCCAAGGCTCTCTCAAAAGCTCGTGCCTGGTGGCACAAGTTTCGGTACGGCCTGGCAGTGACCTGTTCAGAGGATTTAAGTACCTTGTAGAGCGGTCCCAGAGAGCCCTTGGTTGCCCCACTCAGCCAGGCTTGGTAGTCCGCAGTTTCTTGAAGTTGTTGCTTCTGTTTTGCCTGCTGCAACATGACGTCCACTTGCTCAAGCGTACCAGGCTGAGCAATTGTGCCTGTAGACGGAAGCAGCCCATCAGGAGCACCTTCAGGGACTTTTAAGTCTGGAATAGGGTGACCTGCTTGGATGGCGTCCTTCCAACGTTGCCAAAGGACCACCTCCTTCCCTCTCCAGACCCTACCCGGTGGCAGGGAAGCAACCAAGGGAGCGATGCTAGCCGGTGCTTTCCACCCTCGGCCAACAACCTTGAACCCAGCCTCCTGCTCACATCTACGGTAGATTTCCCCCAGCTCCAGAGAGTAAGGGTCAGAAGCAACCTGGTTTACGACGGAGATTTGGGTGAGGGTTTCACTGGTCTGTGATGGTGAGGAACCCAGTTCCGGCTCAACTGGGAACAGTTTAAGTTGGGATACCAAGCCACTGAGACCTTGGATTGGTATGCGAATGGTGACTGCTCCATGTGGTCTGAAAGGGACCTCCATCGAAAAGGAGGCTTCCAAGGATCCTTCCAGCGCGGAGTGCACCATGGCATAATCCAACTCATTCTCACCTCCAGCCGTGGGGCATCCCGGCCCCACCAGCACCTGAGTGACCAACCCGAGGTTGGCCATCTCCAGTCGTGGGTGATTAAAATCACCCATCACGACCCAAACTCCTTGGAGCTGGGACAAGGTGCTAGCGAGATTCGCAAGAACCTCTGGGTTGCAGCCTCCTGTTGGCCCTACTCCGGATTGCAGATACAAGGAGAAAAGGATGAGGTCCCGACCATGCACTCTCAAAGCCACCGCTATCCAGCCACAGCCTTCCTTGGTGACAAAGGAGTCAACCAGCCTCGCACCTAGGTGGTTTTTTGTCAGGATTGCAACCCTTCCCAGAGTGCCCACTCCTTTCCCTTGCCCTGCCGGCAGGGCCTGAAACTGGTAGCCAGCTTTACCGGCCTCGATCTGCACCTGACGAATCTCAGTTTGGTCCAGATGTGTTTCCTGCACAGCTGCCACATCAGGTCCCAGCTCGAACAGCCAGGTGGCCACCTCTTTTCGCCACTGTGTAACATTGGCAGTGATGCAGGTAAGTTTACGACTAACACCCGGGTCACTGGTGTTCAGCACTTCCTGCACAGCCTGCACTGCCACATACCACATCTCGCGGGAGAAAAGAGGGGACGATAAGGCATCCAAGATGTGATGACACACCCAATGTTCCAAGCTGCCATCATCCAAAGTGTGCTCCAACTGTTCCACCAAACTTAAAATATCCGGTTCACTGGGCGTCTCAGACACGAGAGCAGATTGGGTAAGGCTCAAGAGAGCCTGCCAGGTTGCTTTCAGCCCATCTTCTCGCTCTTGTGCTCTTGGCGACCTGAGTTTGGATCGCCTGCGCCTGCCAGGCCACGACCTGGCCCTCCAGACCCGCGAAGTTGAACCACTGTCCGGGACATCCTTCAAGGCACCTGGAGAAGCTGTGTCTGCCTGTGACCAAGTAGCACAAGGTTGCTCAGCTTGAGATGAGACCCTAGCCCAACTGGCTGGGACCCTGAGCCTCGACTTGAGGCTTTCTGGCAAAACTGTAGTTGTGGAGCTCGACTCCTCAACTGGCGGAATAGATCCTGCTGAGGAGGAGGCACCCCGACTCTTATGACCAGAGGGCCTCCTTGAACCTCTATCTCCTGGACGAGGACGAGCACAGATGGCATATGGCGTTTGAAAGCTTTTGGCCCTCTGCGTCGTACCCGACACCAAAACCGGAGATATCTCTTTCCTGGTTACACAGAGGTGCTCAGTGACTCCAGAAGGAAAAGGCTCAGATTCCACGTCCTCATCCCCATCCCCTAGGGCTGGGAAGAATTTGGGCCCAGTGAGGATCGGGGACAAGTGCTCAGATAGCCTAAGAACAAAAACCCATTCAGCTCTCACCTGATCGTCTGACTGCCAGGTGAAGAACTCAGGGTTGGCAAAATTGTGAGAGCAGAGCTCCGACACATGGTGAAAAGGCAAAAGAGACGATGTCCGGCACTGCCCTGTTGGGCCACGGTTTCTGCCTGCCCTACCTACAGTGCGCCACCCATCGTCTCCGGCTCCCGGGGTAAAGCGCCTCCGACCTTGCCCTTTGTGCCTCCCAACCTACTCTGGCGGGGATCTCGTCCTTTCGGGACGGTGGGTTCAGTGGAGTCGCTCTAGCTATGGCCGGGGTTCCCCGAGCTGGGCCATACGAGGCCGGCCAGACCGTGGATCCTTGATTGATCCCTGCCAGCTCCTGTGGAAACGGCTCTCTGCTGTCGAATCGGCTCAAAAAGGGATCTGGGCCAATCTCATCCTCAGCCGTCGTGGTCAAGAGAGCTGCTTTCAATTTGGCCTTCGTTCCCTCGGCGAGTTCGTGGCCCGCTTCAGCCAGAACCTGCTCCATCTGACCAAAGGCCGTTGTTGCCTTGTCCTCAGTCAGTTCTTTGAACTCGCGCGCCGTCTCCTTCATTTCCGCATCTTTATTCTCGATCTCGCGCCCGACCTGTGCAACATCCAGCATCAGGGCCTCAAGTTCCTCCTGACGATCTGCCTTCGCCTGCAACATTGCCCGCTTCTTTACCAACTTCTGCATTTGGTTAGCTAGACTTGCGGAACTCTGTCACTACTCGGGTCAGGCGCTGTTCTGGGGTGCTCTCTGGCGCATCGAGATTGACATCCTCAGGCGGCGGAATGCCTGCTGCTGCCAGGAGCTTTTGCACATGGTCACCAGCTCCACTGTACACCACCGTGCGCGCCGCCTGATACTCCTGTTGAGTCATGGAGCCTTGCAGAGAGGACGGCACCCTCAGCCCTGGCGGCGGGGCTGGCAGCCGTGGCGCCTTGCATCCCACCTTCGTCAAGGCCTTCTGAGTGGCCTC